GGTATAATATATATATATATGTATGTGGGATGGCAATAAAACGACGAGAGAGCGGGCTGCTTCGGAAGAAGAAGAAGAAGAAGTAAGAGTGTAGGAGCCGAGATCGGGCCGGTGCCGTGTATACCTATATAGTAGGCATAGTGGTTGCCGTGCCGCTCTCTCCCTCGGTCGGTTCTCCGGTTCGACGCACGAGCAAGCGAGCGGGAGCCGAGGGGAACTCGCCCGCCGGAGCTGTTGCAGACTCCCTTCCCCCGCTCCGCGCCACTCTCTGGCGCAATAATTTATTCAGTTTAGCCCCGCTGTCAGCTCGAGCCTTCGCGCTCTCCTCCTCCTCCTTTTCGTCATTTTGTGTGTACACACACGTGTATCTGTATTTGTTTGTACGGGTATATATTTATGCCACCGTTCTCGCGGGTTTTTATTTATCCTTCTCGCCGCCACCGCTGCGGTCCCGTTCCCGGGACGCTAGCTCCTCGATGCCCCGATCTCCCTCTTTCTTTCGATGATCGTCGCGCCGGTATTGGGAAACACACATGCACCCGCGTATATTGTATACGCCTTGTCTCCTCCCGTATTTGCTGCTCTGCTATACTCGATCCTCTACGTATATATGCATTTTATCATATATATACCTACCTGCGGGAGAGGCCCGTATAGGTATTCCCGTCGCGTGTGTACCGCACGTTATATGTACATACGGTACAGAGAGGTAGAGCCCCCTGGAATTACTATACCACGCCAAAGTGACGCTGATGCAGGGACGGGAGTCACCCTTCCATCAACTCTCTCTCTCTCTCTCTCTCTCTCCTCCCTATATCCATATAAATTGGAATCCCGACTGTTTCCGCAACTCCATGGATTAGGTGTAGGGACAATAAACCTACACGTGCCTGCAGTGTCCGTGAGGCTCATTACCTATATACGGTGAACAATTAATCACGGACAATAATGTTATCATTGTTATTTTTTTTTTTTTCCTGACAAATAATTTTTTTTCTTCTTCTTCCTCTTCATTAGTCACCGATTATGCGATACATAAATATATATATTTATTGTCCAAGCGCGCGCGAGACTCGCCGCGATTGTTGTATATCGGAGTGTGGGACCAAATTCGGGCCCTCGCCGGTATGGAAAGAGAAAATTGAAAGAGCTCGGGTCGGATGAAAGGAGGAGATTCGCGAATTGCTCAATACGACGCCGACTATGTAAGAGGCCGCGTACATATTATACATATACACATGCTTTGCTTGCACGCGAGCGAAGGCTGCTACTGGGTGGTCCATTTGCTGCAGTATGTATATATTATGTATAAGTACACAGTGTCGACTGCACTCCCACATTTTTCCTCGCGCTCCATCTCTGCTCTCTCTCCGGACTCGGTTTCTCATTTGGGCCGAGAGAATATAATAACCCGGCTCCCTTGTTTTTTCCCCCCCCCCCCCCCCCCCGAGATATCGCGCCTCCCGCAGCAGACTCGGTTGAAATGTACGGGGGCTGCTCGAGGATCCGAAAGAGGAGCAGGACAGAAGTTGGAAGGAAGGAGGAGGACTGCCTTAGCTATATATGTGTACAGCGAGAGCTTCGCAGAAGCGGGTCGGCGCGCGCATGACCTCGACGAGGCTGCTCCTCCGGTGCGTGTCGATGATTAAAGCCTCGAGGGGGAACAAAAGGAAAAAAAAAAAAAATGAGAGAGAGAAGTGGCTATACACGCCAGCTGCGGCGGAAAAAGAGAGAGAGAGAGAGAGATCGGCGGGCGGCCTTTACGCTCCCGCTCGGGCCGCTCTCCTCCACACACACACGCACACACTGCCCCACGGATCATCGATTACGCCGCTTAACTCCGTTCGGGACTCCGCCGCGGCCGGCGCCCACTTTGCCGCTCCTCGCACCTACCTAAAAGTATATACAGTAGAGTATAGCGTGTGGGGCTCGTATACACAATAAGTAGGTACATGCATTTATACAAGTACGTACGTATGTATATATACGCTACATATATATGATATAACATAACATACGTAACGATTGTTCACGCTACGTGTGCGTGCCGAGTCATATTAGAGAAGGGCGTATACCTGGACGATACGCACGAGGGGGGAGGGGGGTGGTGGTACAGATCTTATCAGCGGCCCGGTTCCGCGTGCCCGTCTCGCGATGCGAGCACAAGCTGCTACCGCTGCCACGGGCGCTGGTTACATATACACATGTATATATTCCGCTGGTCGTCGCGAGCAGGCTGATCTCCATAATCTCTTAACGACGCCCCATAACTCTCTCTCACTCCCGACGCAGCTCCGCGCCGCCGGCGACGGCCTCGAGTCTAAATTATTCTCGCCGCCACCGTGACCGCGTCACGAGCCATCGATATTATATATCCTCCCTTCTCTCTCTCTCTCTCCGCGCCGTGTGCCTTTTACGCGCTGACGCGTCGGACACGAGCGCGTCTTAACGACCTCTCACGCCCCGGGACCATGATAATGGGAGGCCTAATTGCACCGGAGAGCTATATACATACGTACATATGAATACCAAAGTGTGGGAGACATGATACAGCTGTGGGATCGCGTACATTACGAGCCCAAGACAAAGGTGGAGGGGAGGAATGCCCAACTGTCGAATCCAAAGTATACGGGAGCAATTCGGCACGTGCCTTCGTGTCAATGGGGGCTGATTTGATTTTGCCTCGATAATCGAGTGATTTCGACCACCCCCCTTTTGCACCTCGGAGCTGATAGTTTTGTTAAACGCAAGGACAATAATAGTTGGTACTCGGGTGTAAATTTCGCTTTACGCATCGTAGACTCGCTCGTGTTTTTTTTTTTTTTTTTTATCGTGCGTAGCTGGATTACACGCGCTGCCCAGCCGGGTGATCGGTACCTATACGTATATGGGCTCGAAAGCCGCCGTCGTCGCCGAGCGACCCAGCCGCAAGCCGTAAATAGGCGGTGTACAACCTACACACGAGTGTGTATATGCACATGGGCATATGCAGCACTTTTCTTCTTTTACCCATCCGTCCCCCTGCACTGCACCCCTTTTGTCGGCTCTTTCCAGCTTCCGTGTGTGTGCCTATTAGCCGCACTGCTGGATTACATTTGGTGTACAGCTTGGACGCCCCTCTCCGTCCAGATAAGGGTGGCCGTATTGCCATGATTTTCCGCTCGGGTCTCCGTGGGCGTGTTTTAAAAAGAAAAAGTTATCCGGAAAACCCGCGGCAATTAATGAGCGAGAGGGAGGACGACGCCTCCGCAATACTCGGTGTTAATTTATAGTGCCTCCGGCGTTGGTTGAGCAGCTGCGCCTCCAGTGCCGAAGGAAGCGAAGGGGGGTGGGAGTTAAATTGTCCCGAAGCCGCCGCCGCCACCGAGCTCTAATCAGTCGAGCGTGAAGTAGCTAGCTATACTCCCAACCTCCCCCCCCTCCCCCAATTCGCTACTCCTTTGGGACGGTGTGTACACACTCTAAAGACCGAGAAATTTCGTCGATCCGGTGTATCGTGTTGTCCGATAAGCAAGTTATTTGACGGAACGGTGAGCGTTGGATATTGTTATTTTGTTTTTTCGTCAAAGTAAAAGATATGAAAAAAAAAAAAAAGAAAGAAAAGAGCCGAGTACGAGCGAACGAGCCAATGCCCTTGCCTGCATATACATATACGGTGTAGAGACGGTGTTATTATACCTGTATATACGAGTACCCGTGATGCGAGGAGACGAGAAGGGAGAGAGCGGTGTCCCGTATAGCTGCGCCCGGCTCTCGTGCTGCAGACCGCAATCCCCTAATCAAAGAGCAAGCACCGCTCGGCCCATCCTTGCGGCTCTCCCTTTCTCTCTATCCCGTGATGATATACCTGCACGTATATAGTAGCTGCAGCCTCGGCTTTACTATTGCGGCTCTTGTCAACAGGTGTTCGCGGAAGGAAATACAACTAAAGTTGCGCTCCTTCGTTTCTTACACATTCATAAATCGTATAAGGGTATATTCGTTAATTTGTCGTCTACTGACACTGTTGATAGTTTTTTTTTTTTTTACTCGATTGCGGGAATCTTGTAGCGGGCTATTGCAATTATCCGTATATATAATACTGCGCGCCTCCATTTCAATCGCATTCGGTTCGGTGATACGTTGCGATCTGCAGATAATCTGCACTGTATGAAGCTCGCCCTCTTTCGGCCGTTTGCTCAATGCAAGTATACTGCTTTCTGGCTGCTCGATCTTTTTTCACCTTCAAAAATTTTTTTTTTTTTTTTCCTCCGACTTTTTCATTGATACTTAATATCAAGAGCAACTGTTCGAAATATATAATACTTGCGAAAAATCGAAAGTTTCACCGGAATATCATTTATCCCTCTGATACGAGACGACGGTACGGTAGGCCGATGCAATATCAACGTCGTGTGCTTTCCTCTCGCGCGAAGCTTTGCTCATGAAAATCACGCGCGTGGTTGGTATCCAGAGTCGGTAAAGCAGGGATCACTTGGCCGAGCCGATAAAAGCTCAGAATTTGAAGGTTTTGGCACTTTCGTTGGCTAGTTTGGAAACCCTCGGATAGGTGGCGTGGCTATTTCAACCCCTCAGGAGGGAGGAAAAACTACCCCCGTCGGGTGGTAAGTGTCGGACGATTAGCGTATCGGTACACAGGGTAAAACAATCGTGACCGGGTGGTGATAATGGGGATTCGACGTAACGAAGGTTTTCTTTCGGGATAACGTATAAATGTACGAAAACCACCCACCATACGCTAAACGCACGCATAAAACTGTCTTTGCTAGCTCCCGCGATGCGTGTGCTGTATTTCTCGTTGTCCACCTAGCACTGTCGTCTCAAAAATTTATAATTTTTTCACCCTGGAAAACCTGAAAATAAATAGTACACGCTCTTCCGATCGGAAGCAACAAATTCACTCAAACATAAATTACTTTGGTGCCCACTATACCCCGTACGCACGAGGAGCAAACGATATTCATGCGTCCTTTTTTTTTTTTTGTTTCCTCCTGTTCCAGGCCTCCAGCAGCAGTTCGGACGGAAGCGCATCGACGGGCAGGATCTACAAGAAGGTCGCCATCGTCGAGAATTTCTTCGACATCATCCACGCGGTGCACGTCGACCTGGAAGGTCGGCCCGGGAAACACGCCGGCCAAAAGCGCACGTACAGAACGGTAAGCTCCAACTTTTCTTCAACCATACACGTAATTGTGATAAAAAATTTATCCATCCCGCAACGCGACAAGGCACTACCTCGTGTAGAATTAGCAGAGCGATTACGGCTTCTATATGGAGCGCGTGTGTTTTCAATTTGGCTGATTACCCGCAATCGACCGGCTGCATCTCGTTTGCCGCGTTCGTGGTGGGCAACGTGTACACACACATATATATATACAGGGTATATCGAAGCCCGCGGTATAGTAGTCGCGCTTTCTCTCTCTCCTCCCTCTTTCTCTCCACATCACCCCCTTCTCAGCTGACTCGGCGCGATCTGCTTGTGATTCAAAACCTCGGGGCACTTGTTGCGCGCTCTGCTCGCTATATATACACGTACATACTCTCTCGTGTACACTTGAATGCGCACTCGCGCGCGCCAACGCATACACCTAGGTACCTACTCCTCCTCTCGAATCGAGAGTGTCTGTCTAGTTTGCTTTACGCCGGTTATCGTATCTATTGCACCGTCTGAGCCGCTACGCCGTATCCTGTCGGGGCTTTGACGCACGTGTGTCTACATAGCTTGATCACTTTTTTTTTTTCCTCCCTTTCTGTGTATCGTATTGGGAAGCTGATAAAGCGTGTGGTTTTACGAATCCCACACACCGTTAGGCGCATCATCGTGGTGGCATAATTATCATTACCTCAGTGATACATGCGGTACATTTTTGTAAATTGAATTTACTTATTTGCAGTACCTTTTTTTTTTTTTTTCATATATACATACAAAGAATAAAGGTGCTCTTGTCCATTTTTTCAACCCTCATAATAGAAATACCAATCATCTTGTTAAACTTTTTTAATGATGTATGTTTATATGGTATACGACATTTGAATACCTATATTTCGTGATTTTTCTTTCTTTTTATTACAATACATAATTTTTAAAAACTTGAACAAGATATTTAAAAAATTGAGACATGGGACGAATTTCGCTACCCTTATGATTTATTTATGATTCATGTAAATTAAGTCGCTTGCGGTTTTTTCAAAGAAGTACTTTATCAAAAATTTGCCAACTTTGATAAACATTCGTATGGATGTGTGCAAATGCTAAATAACTGAAATAATTTGTTGTATATGCAAAATACGCACGTCATTGAATTTTATATAATGATATGTTAACCATAATCATTTGCTGAATTACTCGCTGTTGTAAAAGTAAAAAATTTTTTTGCATCCCCAACTACTTTTTTGCGATTTTTGAAAATCCATTTATTCACAAAAAATCTGGTAATCTTTTCGAGGAGTCGATAAAAAAAAAAAAAAAATCCCTTTCTCTAGCGGCCCCTATCAATTTGCGTCTCTCCGTTTCTGCTTCCAGATAACCGAGACCTACGCCTTTCTGCCACGTGAGGCGGTGACGCGTTTCCTGCTCGGCTGCACCGAGTGTCAGCGCCGGCCAAGGACGCCCAGCCCCACGAGCCTGGCAGCCGTAGCCACTGCTACTGCCACCACCACCGCCACAAAAAACGACATTCCCACGATCTCCAGGACCCCGACGCCCACGACGCCTATCGACTCGCCACCGAGCCCCAAGCCAGCCACAACCTTGGCCAACAGCTCCACGCCAACGCCCGACGACGCTGACAAGCCCAAAGAGGCCAGCGATCCTCCGGAGACTGGAAGCCCCTCAAACGAGAACTCGCAGGATCAGCCAAAGGCCGAAATCAAGCTAGAAACGGAGGAACCAGCAAAGACGACGACGACAGCGGTAACCGAGACAACGGAAGCCACAACGACGAGCACGGTGAAAACGGAGAACATCGATGGGGATGCCACAACTACTAGTGCCACCAGTGAGACGGACAATAGCAGTAACGTCAGTGTGGCCAAGATCAAGGCCGAGAAGTACAACCCTCTCAGCATAACGAACCTGCTGAGGAAGGACCCAGTCAGCCGAAGACCGCCGATCGCCCTCGTGCCCAAGTCAGAGTCGGCATTGTCGACGGCTGCGATTACCACCACCACAACCACCACCAGCACCACCACGATCTTCCCGTCCGTGACGGAGAGTAGCTTACCGGTCGCGGGGGACTGCCCAGTGGCCAAGTGCGCCCCCATGGACTACAGCTGGACGGGCGACGAGGTGTCCCGGGACTTTTTACCGGCAGCCGGCCTCATTGGCCAAAACCTGAACCTGCTGGCGACCATCCAGCAGCTCCACTGCCAGGTGATGCTCGCGTTGACCCAGAGGCTGCGTCCGTCGGAGCCGAGCCACGGCTCGCCCCCGTCGGCAGCTCGGAACAACGCCGAGGAGCCCGGCTCCTGAGAATCGGCCGCGCCCTCGCCCCCGCCGGCGAAACGCTGTAGCTTCAGCATCGACTCGCTTGTAAATAAACTCTAATGTACATATAATAACTGGCTTACGTGGGTCGGCTACAAGAAGAAGAAAAAGAAGAAGAGGAGGAAGTGACGTTCGTTCGTTTGTTCTGTGCTGTTGTAATTATTATACCAATGAAGCCGCGCGACAGCCGGCATCGACGATGGGACTATTGTTGACTTGCACCGTGGATGAGTGACGCGAGACAATCGCCGATGTCGAGTGTTGCCGAGTATAGTGCGCGCGCGTGTGAGTATGTTCGTTAATTTTAAGAATCGCGGATTGTGGATAGGCCGAAGAAGGAGATGAGTGAAAGAAAAAGAAAAAAAAAATATATATATATACAAGAGTCACGCAAAAGTAATCAAATATCGTTGTCTCGTTTCATTTCGACGCCCCCCCTCCCCCCCGACCCTTACCATCAACCGTTCCTCCCGTGCTCCTCGTGTTTAATATTTGTGCAACGCTACATATGTGTCCTTACTTCCCCACTAGATTTGATACCTATAGGCGTGTAAGGTAATGCACGCACAGCGAACGGGAGAGGAGCTAGGGCGCGCGGGATAATCGATTAAAGCCCAGCAGCCCGTTCGCGCATTATCGGCGGCATTAAGCCGGCGCGACTCCATTGAGTGCCGATTGAGCGCTTAGCCCAGTGGCTTGCTTTCGAGCACCCGGCCATTGAACCTATTGTACACGCTCCCCATTGTCTTTTTTATACGGTTGTACAAAAAAGTGTTCACTGGCGCAGTGTAAGTATATTTATGTTTGTACACATATAATATATTGAAGGTAGAAGAGGAAATTTTGCCAGTCGCAATTCATCGTCGTCGTCGTGGTTGCTCGAGAAAAGTAAGCGGAGGGTGAGAAGGGTACGAGCGCCCGGAAATATAACCAGAGAGCCGAGCCCGAGGATGCAGCAGCCGCTGGAGCGCCGGGATCATTTCGAAGATAGCTGGGAGCCGCTCTCTCTCTCTCTCTCTCGTTCTCTTTTTGCGTAGGAGTTGTCGGGTGCGCTGCGTTAGTTGAAGCAGGGAAAGAACGAGGGTGAGGAGGAGGAGGAGGTTTTAGGTAAAGGCATATACGTATATATACGTACAATACACGTATATATGTATATTATACCAGCACAGGGCGCAGATAGCCGTCAGAGGGTGGCAGGAGGAGGAGGAGTAGATGGAATGGGTTGGGGGGGGGGTGACTGCGAAACGGGTTCTCCGTTGGCAGGGAGCAAAGGGATCGGGGCCGACTGGAGTGAGAGGGAGCGAGTCTCTCAGGGGGGTGAGTTTGGCGCCGAGGTGTCGCGCTCCTCCCCCCCCCCCAACCCTCCGCTTGCAGCCCTCACGGCAGCGCTCTCTCTCTCTCTTCGTTCCTCCCTGCCTACGTTGCTGCATACCCCGCAGCTCCGGCTTCCACCCCCAGACCCGTACACCCCCGTCTGCCTCCTCATCTGTTTTATCCCTTTCGACCTGGCTCGTTCCTCTCTCTCTCTTGCTGGCGTATATATGTGGCGGCGACGGCGGCTGCTGCTCCACTGCGTCTCTCTCTCACCCCCATCCCCGGCCGTTTGCCCGCTCCCGCTCTATCTCTGTCTCCTTCACCCGGATCTAAATGAATAATTCTGCAGCCAAGGAAGACAAGAGAGCAAGGACGAAGGTGCACAGGAGGTATTTTTTTTTTTTTTTTTTTTTTTTTCGTGGATAGACATTGACGCTCGCTCTCTCTCTCTCGATTTCAAGCTTCTCGCAGTTTCAAATGTTCCCTGGCACACAGCAATACCATCGTTATTATCAGCGGCAGGGGGGGGGGAGAGAGAGGTTGAAAAACGAGACAGTGACACGAGCGGCTATTCAGTGTATATATTCTCAGCTTGTAAAAATAGTCCACCGCCACCGTTGTCGGTAGGACGGTCACGTACCCCATACAGGTGTGCACGTACAATACGGCAATCGGATCGCGGGCATTTAACGTTGCGACGCTATTGTACATGGGGATATTGGGGATATGACTCTCTCGCGAGAGAGAGAGAGAGAGATTTGATTAGTGTTGCGGTTACGCGGCGAGATAACATTCATTACCATAGCAACAGGCGCTCGGTGTCTCTCGTCATCGGCAGCTGCACTCTGTACCTAACGTGTACCTATTATGTCCCCTCCTTTGCCGGTCTCTGATATTATCACGAGAGTTTAGTTTATTTGGCCAAACTAATATTATAGTTTGTATTTTACGCGTATCATGTGTGTCGGTCGTTTGCGTGGTTCGGTAAAATGTTTTATATACACCATCACTGTGCTCTTCGTGAAAAGCAGTTCACGCACACACAGGAGAAGGAAACAAACGAGGGCAAAAATCGGCGTGTTGATCGGTTTCCCATCAATGAGAGAAAATGTCAGTAAAGCAGCAACACGACAACGCGTACAAAAAGGGCCAAAGTCAAGATTCACTCAGCATTGAAATTCCGTCCCCTCCGTGGGTTACATTGAAACACATTTTCGCTCCTACACACCTAGCTATATGTATATATTTTTATTCTCTCCTCTCCGCGAAGGTAATTATCAAACTTTATGACCAAACCGATCCGTACACTTTTGTGTGGGTATGATAATTATTTTTTCCACATATCCATGCCTCCCCCTGTATCTTCGTTACGGGTCTTTTTCTTTTCTTTTTTTTTTTTTTTTTTTTTTCTTCTTTATGTTTCAAGATTGAACATTTCATGGGAAAAAGAACTTCTGTTAGTGTGGCCAGGTAGTGCTAGTGGAAAGTTACTTCAATGATCGATGACTAGGTACTTCTGAGTTGTGCTTCATTCTTGCGGATAAAGTATATATAAAACCGGTCAAACTTACTAGTGACATATAGTAACTTTTTTTTTTTTTTAACTGGGTGTCCATTTTTTTGCATATTGTAGCAATGATGTATTTAATTATTACAATTACTTAATATANATATATATATACGTTTGGGGTGAGGAAGCAAACGGGTTCTGCTTGTTCGCGCGGGGCGGGAATATTTCAGGCATTTATTTTGCTAAACTTGTTCGGAAACTGGCTCTGCTGCTCCGGGAGAGAGAGTCAAACTAACTGCACTGCAGTGTGGCACCCGGCAAGGGCTGGTGCGCCCATCGCGCGTACACATATATATATATATATACACGTCACACCGTCTTCTCCGTCTATTTATGTATATACACATATATACTTGCACGCGTAGGTATATATACGTATAAAGGGAAACCATATAAATTTTATAAAGAAGCGAAGCCCCGGCGCTCGGGCTTAACTTTGTTCTCAAAATCAATCTTTGGCAGGAAATACTTTCTCTCTCTCTCTCTCTGCCTGCCCCGTTGTTAATTTCGTTATCGGCGAATCGATCAGGCGTGCCTCCAAAGAGTTTCCGGGCCACGCGGGGTATGTCCCTCCCCCCCTCTTGTTTTGTCAAACGGTGCCTTCGACGAGACGTACGGAATATTTTTCGCTGTTGTACTTGCCCCTCTGACCCAACCACATACGCATTATACTCGGGAGTGCCGGAACGGATAAGCGAGAAAAACCTGTGAGAGCAAAAGATGAGTGGTTGGGGGGGGGGGTGCATTTGGCGAGCATCACCTGTGTATATACGTAGGTACAGGTATATGTCCTAATGGTACAGCTGCTATGCGCACGTGCACTATCTTCCTTTTCTTTGAAGTATATGTATGAAGAAAAAAAAAAAAAAAAAAAAAAAAGGGAAAACGAGGGTTGAAGGAAAAAAAAGGAAAGAAAAATGGAAGTATACACAGAGGCGAAACGGGCAGGCAGCCGTACGAAGGAGCGGCAAGGCAACAGAGAAGAAGGAGGAGGAGGAAGGGAGCGGGAATATTATGGAAGGAAAAGAAAAGAAAAGAAGGACGAGGGTGGCGTGCTCGGGGGATGGGGAGTCGAGGCTGCTCCAGTGGGGGGGGTGGGGGAGAAAGGGTGCACACGGCGTAGGTATTACTACTACGCGCAACTACTAGTGGTGCAGAGGGTGGAAACGAAGCGAGAGAGCTTCCCTACCCAACCCCCCCCCCCCGGTACGTATATACACGTATATATATAGCAGTAGTTGAAGCAGCAGCACCGGCGGCCAACACTTTTCCTCGTATTACTTAGAGGAGAGAGGATATAGCTCCGCGCAGCGAACGTGGTATATATATATGTATACATAGGAGGATGAGGTAAAGAAGAAGAAAGAGGAGGAGGGTAGGTGGGCTCCGGGGCTATATCTCAGGGCAGAGAGAGAGAGCACCCTCGGCTGGTAGCTGCGAGAGCGCATTATCCCCCTTTCCGCTCTGCCGTTTGCTCTAGTCAGCTCCCATCCCCCCCGTGTGTGTGTGTCGGCAGCGGCCCTCTTCCCGTTCCACCACCCCCTGCCAGCTCGCAATAGCAGCCGCTGTGCTACCGCCGCCGACACACTCTGTTTCCCCCAATTCCACCCACCCGTCCACCCTCTCTGCAGCAGCAACAGCGGCATATCAACCTTTGCCCACCCCCTCTCTCTCTTCGTCGCCCACCATCCGACCCGAGCACCCGCTCGAAGGTGGGTGCGCCCTACTGGCGCCTGAAGCCGCCCTAGGCTAGGGGGTGGGGTGGAGGAGGAACTCGGAGCCGAGGCTTTTGGCTCTGGCATATTCCGCTTCTCTCGCAGCTCGCTCTGTCTGCCGGCCGTATAACAAGCGTCGCCCGATTTATCGATATGTAAATATATATATAGCAGTTTCGACAAGTCAAAACAAGATTTTTTTCAATATCCACGTGACGAGGATATCATAATGCATATTCTACTATGGCTTCAAGACATCCACATGTATAGTATAATGCAGTGGTGTGTTGCGACGTACGGCAATACCTCGTGGGTGGACTCATCACAGGCACCTCGGTGACTTGTTTATTCATTTTTGGAATAGACCCCGAGTTATGGTAGGGTTGACATAGGAGTTTTGTTTCAGGCATGTAAACGCCGTAAAACGGCTAATTCGATACAATTGGTGGCAACGACGCTGCCAGCCTCACAAGTTGGTAATTTATTTTCAGAACGGACCCCATATCCTTTTGACTTTCGACTGCACTGTCACAATCGATGTATACACGACACATATACTACAGAGCGAGTTTAGTTTGATTCGGTCCCGAGAAGAATTTTGACGGCAACTTTTGCTGATGATTGTCGTAGTATCAAGTCTCACAATATTGTGCTCTTGTGGTTTGTCTGTGCTTACCTGGCGCTCCATAAAGATGGAATGTTTCTCTATGTTTCCTGCTATTGCTCGTCTCGTAAATCGTTTTACAGGTCATCAATATATTCAATTGGCATTTTACAATCGTAA